AATATGAGCTCAGACTGTGCTACCACAAGTTGGACACAAGTAGTCCATGTGAACATTTGGGGTGGATTCTCTAAAGTTGCATTATTTCACATTTCTTTTGAGTTACTTCAATTCTGCTTTGCTCATAGAGCACAGCACCTTCTTTGATGAAAGTATGCCATGCTGGGCATTCCTGTGCCAGCGTCTCCCATGTCATGCAATCATTTCCAAAGTTCTTAAGAGAGACCTTGAAAATAGCCTTGTATCACTTCTTCTGACAACCAGGTGATCACTTGCCTTGTGTGAGCTCTCCATAAAATAGTCTTTTAGGTAAGCGCACGTTTGGCATTCTAACAAGTGGCCAGCCCATCAGAGTTGCACTCTCTGTGATAGAATTTGAATGCTTGGCAGTTTAGTTTGAGAAAGAACCTCAGTGTCTGGTACCTTATCCTGCCAGATGATCTTTAGAATCTTCCTAAGACAATTCAAGTGGAAGCAATTCAGTTCCCTGGCATGGCACTGATAGAAGTGGGGACTTATAGGTGGGAAATATGGTCACCATCCCAGAGATCTTGATAGAAAATGTGTTAAATCTCACTTATATTAGGGCTATGAGGGAAATGAATGAGAGCAGGAATGAGAATAAGAACCTGATAGTAAGAGATTGTAATGTTTATACTATTAATATTCCATGGAGGTAAGTGGACTTTCACCACTAAGGAATTTGGAAGCTTCAGATATTTAAAGAACAGATTACTGTTCAGTTCAGATTTGGAACAAAGGTTATGGAGGGTATGGTCTTTTGGGATGTTCCTTCCTATCTGCATCCATCAATTTAGAGAATTATATATCAATTGCATTGTCATGATATATTTCAATACATATTATATCAATTATATAAAATTAGTTAACAATATAATACTAGGGTTAGAGGTCCCAGTGAAAATTGTCATTTGTCCCAGTTTAAGTGGTTAAGATGGAGAGTTTTACCTTCCTGGTCCTATAAAGATTAGTTTCCTTTGTACCCAATTCCTCAGTGGAGGTAGCAAGGAAAGGGATTAAATGCTTAAAAAACAAGTGTTTGGTAGACATGACGTATGCTCTCTACTCCCATTCCCAGCCCTACACACCCTATGACTAACCTGTGTTAGAGGCAATTAGATAACCACTTTCTGAGAGGCCTCAGGCTTTTACTGTGGTCTGCCATGCCATCCCACTATCTAGGCCCAGACAGAAAAACAGTTGAGAGTTAAGTGGAGATCGATATCCTGGCAAATACTGCCATCTACACCATCTGGGGAGGGGGAGAGAAAGTCACACTGACCTGTTTAAATTCAACATTTCCAAAACTGAACTCATTATCTTTTCCTACAAACTCTCCTTTCTTCCAAACTTCCTTATTACTGTCAAGGGCACCACCATCCTTCTAGTCACTCAGACTCGAATGTAAGTGCCATTCTCTCTCACCTCTCCCATCCAATGTGTTGCCAACTCCTGTTTATTTTACCTTGGTGGAATCTCTCTAATATATCCCTTTCTCTCTTTTGACTCTACCACCATCCTATTGCAGATCCTCATCACCACATGCTGGGGCTATTGCAATCACCTGCTGGTTGATCACTGTGCCTCAAGCCTCTTCCTTCTCCAGTCCAACATCCACTCAGCTGTCAAATTAATCTTCTTAAATTGAAGATCTGATCATGTCATCCCTCCAACTCAGTAAACTCCAGTGGCTCTCTATCACCTTCAGGGTCAAATATAAAATTCTCTGGCATTGAAAGCCCTTCACAACTTGGGCCCCTCTTACATTTAAAGTCTTCTTACCCTTTCCCATGTATTCATTAATCCAGTGACACTGTATTCTTTGTTACTCCTTGAATAAGACACTTTATCTCCAGCTCTGGGCATTTTCATTGGCTATTCCCCATGCCTAGAATTTTCTCCTTCCTCATCTCCCTCTCCTGACTTCAAATCTCAGCTAAAATCTGACCTATAGAAAGTCTTTCCTGATTCCCCTTAAGGATGGCACCTTCCTTCTGTTGATTATTTCCAATTTATCCTGTATATGGCTTGTTTGTATGAGATTGTTTGCATGTTGTTTCCCCCATTAGACTCTGAGCTTCTTCATAGTTGTTTTTTGTCTTTCATCTAACCTTAGCACTTAGCATGGTGCCTGCTACATAAAAGGTTATTAATAAATGCTCATTGACTGCCTGGCTGCTTTGCAAGTGGAGGAGGAGTTTGAGGAGTGTTGAGTGTGGGTCCTAAAACATGAGATTGGTAAGAAAATGGTGCATTGCCAACTTTTAGGGGTGCTAGTAAAATTGCACTGGAATATTTAACAGTGGGTCTGTAAGGTGCTTCAGCTCCTCCTAAGCCTAAGGCATCCTCTAAAGCCTCCATCTACTATAGATATAAAGGTCTATTAGATAGTAGCAGACTTGTGGGTGTCACAAGAGAGGGTCCCCAACAAGGGGGCAAGTACCCCAGTTTCTAAAGAGATTTTGGCAGGGGGAGACCAATAAGGGAAGAGGCATCATGAGTTCTTGGGAATAGGTATCTGCATAGGAATTTACATCAATCTGCATGCCAATTATTTTGGAAATCTTCAGAGTTTTCTGAGCCTCCATGTGTAGTTAATAACAACCAATACCAGGTTCCAGGAGGAGTAAGATATTTCTCCCTTAGTTATGGAGTTGGAGGAGGCTGGAGTACTTCTCTCTATCTGCTTGCCTTACAACAACCCTGTGTGGCCAAAGAGGAAGACAGATGACACCTGGTGGTTTACAATTTACAGTGGACTCTAGAAAGCCGAATAACGTTGTCATGCCATTTGCTGCAGCTGGGCTTGACCTTGTCAATGTAATAGACAAGGTAGTGTGCTTAGAGTGAGTGGTAAGAGGTTGTTGAGTTTGTTAGAGCCTTTTTTTAAAAAATCCATTCCTGTGCCTAAAACTGAGAAATGAGAAATTTTCTTTCAACTGGGAAGTTCAGCATACCTTTACTGTCCTTTCTCAGTATTATATGAACTCTACCTTACATTGTCACAGTAGAATGGTTAGAAACCTGAAAGAGAGTTTGGCATTAATATCCATAATTATACTGATGGCATAATGTTGACAAGTTCAGATGAAGCCACTGTGGGAGGACCATAGATTAGATGGCAGCCCATATAAGGAGAAAAGAGTGTTAAGTTTAGGCATTCCCCTATGGCAATGGGTGGGAAGAACTCAGGTGATTCTGCACATAGTCTAGAATAAACTATTGATATTTTCCAGCATAATGGTCACTGGCAGCAGGCACTAGACTAGATTTATACTCTCCCCCCACCTCTGCCCACCTCCAGCCCTTTATACCCTTTGACCAGCAGTGGGCAGTAATGCAGGTACCAGTAAAGTAGATTAACATCTTGGTTACTGGTGGCAATACCAGTGGTTGGCATTACTAGTGCTGCTGCGTGGCCCTGATGCTTCTGGTGTTGCTCCTATTCATTGCTGCCATTTTATATTGGAGAACCCATGATAAATTGGCCTTGACATCACCACCATTTGGACTATATTCTTTAGGGGGCTGTTACTTTGTTTACTGTCTTACAGTCTGGTTCTAAACTACCTCTCCAACTTGATAGTACATACATGATATTCTAGCCACACTGAAATACTTGTCAACCCCTGACCTTTATTCATATCATCCCCCATGCCTACAAATGGACTCCCCTAACCCTTATCTTCATCTAATAACATCTTTCCTTTCCTTCAAGGCCTAACTCAAGTGCTACTACCTCCTTCAAGAAGTCTTCTCTGACTACTCCCATTCTCACCTTATCCCCCTAATGAAATTGATGTCTCCTTCTTCAAATTTCTGACATGATTACCTAGGCCTCTCCTTTCTATCACACCTGTCTTTTCCTTAGAATAGAATTCTCTTGTACAGAGCAGACACTTAATAAACACTTAATAAACATGGAATTGAATTGTCACATAGTTAATAATACTAATAGTTCATTTATATACTAATTTGTAGTTTATAAATCACTTTCCTCACAAACAACCAATGAAGTATATAGAATGAGTATTATCCCTATTTTGTAGATAAGAAACTAAGCTGTCTCCTGAGGTAGTCCTGTGATATTGGAGCCCAAGGACAGCATTATTAGTGAGGTTCCAGTTGGTAAAGCAATCTGATCCCTTTCAGGGAAAACTTACATATGGCCACCAACCCGATGCCTTAATCATGCTGGTTGCAATTGGGCTAAGTAATTGTCAGGCACCAAAAAATCCATATTAGGTTTAATATCCATTTTCAGTCTGAGGTGATCTATGGCTTCTGGTTAGTGTTACCACACGTGAATCTTTCTTTTTTTGGTTAGGCAATGGGGTTAAGTGACTTGCCCAGGGTCACACAGCTAGTAAGTGATATGTGTCTGAGGCTGGACTTGAACTAAGGTCCTCCTGAATCCAGGGCCGGTGCTCTATCCACTGTACCACCTAGCTGCCCCCACACATGAATTTTTCAAAAAAGTTTGCTAATAAATTATGCTGTTTCTCAGGCTCACCAGTGTTTCTGTTGATGGTCCATAATATAGTTTGGGACAGTGGTGAGTGAAGACAGGTTTAAGTTATGGTATTGAAGATATGTTTGAAAATATATTTAGATCCTCCACTGGGAAGGGACTTGAGCCTGCTAAAGTAAAAAAATCTTCAACTGAATTAGAACTGACTTATTTTGAATATAGTGAATGCTAGCGGAAGCAGAACTTGGCATCCTTATGTTAAACCCACAGCAAATAATACATAATGACAATCCTCTGTTCTCAGATTAATTTTCTCTTTACCACACTGCCCACCCTTGAAATTCCTTCTGGGTTACAGATTTGATTCAGCAAAATTCGCCTATGAAATGTAGCTCTGCTTAGAAATAATGTACTATCCCTTGTGACTTCTGCAACTCATACATCACTTGAATTTATGCCTAGTGCTGGGAAATAATTTTATTTTCAGTTTGCCCCCTAAATCTGAGACAGGTCAATATAATAAAATTAGCAATACTTCCATTTCCTCTAAAATACCGTTCCCTTAAAATATTAAAGCCCCCTCTATTTATAATGGAGTTCAGATCACTTTGAACCTTAAAAACCAAGCCAGCTTTTTTCCCCCCTTTTTTTTCAAGACAGCTTTCTTAAGAAGATCCAGTTTAGTTCCATCACAATATAGCAATTACCCAGCCAATGTTGCCTTGGCCTTCTCTTCTGGAAGAAAGTTGGAATCCAAGGGCTGCTACTGTTTCCCAAAACGTGGGATTTACTGTGCTGTGCCTGTGTCCCAGAGCACCTTTGACGCTTCCTTTGCTCCGCTGGTCACTTTTAGCTGCTCCCAGCAGATGGAGCCCCAGCTAAATTTTCTTGAGCCAGTCATTTTGTTCATGGGGCTGTCTGGCGTAAACAGGAAGACGAGGGGAGAAAAAACTTTTGTGGCTGTTTTTGTCTTTTGAGAAAGAGATCTGATTTTAAATAGAACACTTTGTGTCGGAACCGATTTAGATGCTTCAGTTATAAGAGGGATTAAGCTATCTGAGAAACATTTTACAAATTCAATCCTAAATTTATTTAAGGAGTTTGATTATCTTTAAAGGATCCAGTGCATAGTACTGTATTTCACAAGCGGTTGTTCTGATGCTGAATGGAGGAGAGAAGCTTCTTGAAGGAAAAGTGATGAGGGGAAGGGAAAGGAAGGGCGAGGCCGTTTGCACGCAGCCCTTGCACGGCTTCAGCCGCACTGCAGGCTAAGCGAACTGCGATGGTGCCGCTCCCTTGTCCAGTCTTAGAAGGCCAAGCGCTACCTACTGGTCGAAAATGTGAAAACTTGAAATTGCGGAAGGGAGGATCACTGTCTTGCAAAAAGGAAAAAAAAAACCAACAAAGGAAAACCTTTGATTTTAGGTGGCCCGGAGTCTGGGTGCCAGAGGTCCCCAAGATCCTAGAGTTGAACCTGGATACTGGGTCGAAATTTGTTTCCCATAACGAGCAATGCAGAGAATCAGAATACTAAATAACAGCTTTTTTCAAGTCAGAAGAAAAATCCCCAGGCATGTATCCTTTTGGCATATAGTTAGATCATCAAAGGTTAATTATTTTTTCATGCTTCCTTTAGTCAAAATCAGGCTTCATTTTTCACGGTATGATATTTAAGATAACGAAAAAAAGAGAAATTGAGAAATAGAAAACTTGACAGTTGCCTTAAAGTTTTTAATCCTCCTACAGGGGCTCCCATTTTACGTAAAATGATCTGATATCCACATGGAAGAAAGAGGCCACTAGAGATGAAGGAGGAAAAGAAGGGGGAATTTTCCAAGAAGCCACCCTTCTTATCATTCCTCTCTATGCCCCTCATTTTTATTCGAGAATTTGTCGCAATGCAGTCTCTACATTCCCCTCCTCCCCTACCTCCTTTTCCTCCTCTCTTATTCGACCCGAGCTTGTGTTTTTAGAGCCCATCATCTTTTTGCACTGCGAGAGATTTGCGGCCCCACCCTTCTCTCCCCTCCCCAACCCCAATGCCTTTGAGAAGCCTGGGTGCTGCCGCATAAAGAAAATGCTAGGTTATGCTTCTGTTCTTGAGCCAAATGTGTTGTTTGTGAAATATACTGGCAACGCTGTAACTCACCAGCAATCGAAACAATATTTCCCCTTCTCTTATAATATAGAAAGCTTTTATGTTGCATCATTATGCAGATTGTACCTTATACAGATTTAGACTTAGAGACTAGGGTTCTTAACTTTTTTTGTGTGTCATGGCCACCCTGGGCAATGTGGTGGAGCCTATGGATTCTGCTTAAAACAATGTTTTTAAATGCATAAAATAAAATACAAAAGGAAATTGTATTGAAATGCAATTATCAAAATATCAAAAGTTCCAAGTTTACAGATTCACTGAAATATGTCCATGGACACAGGCCCCTGATTTAGTCTAACCCCCTCTCTTGATAGATAGTGCCAGGAGAAATGAAGTGACCAGGCCACAGTGAAATAAGTTAGCTGTATATCCAGGAGATGAACCCAAGTCTCCTCACTTAGACTAATGCTCCTTGCTTCACTGAGAAGGGAGAAGGGGAAAGAGAAAGAGGGAGAAAGATAGTAAGGGAGAAAAGGATGTGGGGTTGGGGTGAAAGGCAGTGAGATCTGGGGAATCTTCCTCTCTGCTAAATTGTATCCAATCCCTCTTCCTTCTGTAACCCTTCCCCCCTCCCCGCCCCCACTGTGTAATGTGTCTTGAGGATCATGGAATTTGAGAGGTGGAAAGGTCTCAGCAGTCATCTAGCTCAAACCTTACTACACCACACATGGTGATCTAACCTTTGTTTGAACACTCCGAGGAGGTAGGTGTTCCACCTCTCTAGTCAGCACATTCTACCTTGGGGCAGCGCTAATCAAGAGAAATATTTTCCTAACATCTAGCCTCACTTTACCTCTTTGAAAGGTCTATCCATTACTCCTGTCTCTGCCCTCTGAGATAACAGAATAAATCTAATCCTGCACATGACAGGCTTTCAAATACTCGAAGATAACTATGAAGTTCCCCAAGGGGCTTCTGTTCTCCAGGCTAGCCATGTCTAGTTCATCCAATGATCCACACAGCCCTCACCATTTTCATTGCCCTCCTCTGGACCTTCCCCAGCTTATCATTGTCCTTAAAATTGTAGCACCCAGAACCTAACACAATACCCCAAGTGAGGCCTGATGAGGGCAAAATAAAATAGAACTCTTATTTCCTTTTCCTAGAAGCTGTGTCCCTGTTAATGCAATCCATAACCATATTCACTTTTCTGATTGCTAGGCAGCTAGGTGGATAGAGTGTTGGGCCTGGAGTCAAGAAGACCTGAGTTCAAATCCAGCCTTAGATACCTATTAGCTATGTGATCTGGGGCAAGTCATTTAACTGTGTTTGCCCCAATTTTCTTATCTGTAAAATGAGCTGGAGAAGGAAATGACAAAATACTACAGTGTATGTGCCAAGAAAACCCCAAATGGGTTCAGGAAGAGTCTGATGCAACTGAACAAGAAAATCACACTGCTGACTCATTGAGCTTTGCAGGCCACTAAAACCCCAGGATCTTTTTCAGAACAGACTGCCCCATATTCCACTTGTGAAGTTGATTCTTTTGTACCGTTAAGTGCAAGATTTTACATCTCTCCCTATTGAATTTCCTCTGATTGAATTCAGTACAATGCCCTTGTTCCTTCAGATCCTTCTGGATCTTGATTCTGTCATCCCCTTTGGTAGCTATACTTTCCAGCTTTGTTATATCTGTAAGTGTTATGAGCATTATATCTGTGCCTTTACCCAAGTCATTCATTTCTAGCTTGAGCCATAGTATCTGATTATCAGGGGGTGGGGGGGTGGGGGTGGGGAGTGGGTGTTGGTGAATGGAATCTTTGCATTTGGAGGGAGTCCTGGGTTATGGGAGGTGAAGCTCTTGCTGCTGGCTGTTTTGAGTACCAAAGGTTGAAGAAAGGGTGTTACCAGTTCCCCAAATGGAGTCTGTGGGGGGGCAGGGAGGGGAAATGTGTGTGCATATGTGAGCACAAAGACATCAGGGTAAGGAGCTCCTGGTGAAGAAACTTCCTCTACCAATGCAGAGGAGATTAGCAGCTATTCTGGAAATGGTCATTGGAGAATTGCCTGGGGCTCTGAGAAGTAGTGATTTGCCCAGTCCTAGCCAGTGTCAGGCAGTATTTGAATCCAAATCCTCCCAAATGATGTATGATACTCATAATTAGCACATACTATGTACCTGCTTCTGAAGATTTGTTCCTTTAAAACCTGACATTTCCACTGTTTCTTTCCTTCTTTACTGTAAGGGAGAAAAGACCTTTAGACAGGCTGACTTACGCATCTTATCTATTATTAAAGTAATTTGATATTGAGATTATGGCAGTGATCAAATTAAAGATTCCTTTCTTTCCCAGTAACAAACCCCTCAGGATCACTTTCTGTAAATTTAACTTACCATTTCCTACAGGCAATTTTTAGAAGGGCTTAGAAAAATTCTAAGGGGGGATGGATGGAGGAGAGATTGTACCATTCCTGAACAAGGGTTGGGCCTTTTGAGATCTGCCTGGATTATTATCTGGATCCAGGCAGATGGGCAGTAAAAACTAAGTATTTAGAAGGCAGAAGGGACAAATAAATAAATAACTCAGTGAATTGGTGATAGAGTCAAGGATGCTGACATTTTCCTGGCTTCTGAGTTAAAAAAAAAAAGAGCAGAATGTCTTTATAACAATTACATTATTATAAAAGCATTGAATTATGAGAGAACAAGTGAACTCTAGCAGCTGATAATATTAATGCTACACAGGCACAAATCTCCTAAATCCTTTGGATTATCTTTTTTTCCCCCCTTCTGGAAGTCTAAGGCAAGAATGTTACTGAAATGATCATTGATGCCATAGCTCTGACACTCCCCAGCCGCTGCTGCAGTCTTGGGAGAGGAGAGTCAAGCTCAGACAAAGAGAAAAAGCATTTAGAAGTGGGGGAGGGGAAGGGGAGTTTCCTTTCTCTTTGTTCTTCCTCAGAACATGGACTCTTCATTCTCATATGCTAACTGCTTTTATGTCCTGCAGGAAGCCTAAATAAATATGTCCAGTTTTGCTTTGGGCAGCACTTTGGGGAGCCCTGAATTCTGTGAGAAGCACAGATAAGAGATTATTAGAACTACTGGTAATGTCATGATTTTGTTTTCTGGATCCCCAAATTAATATTTCAGAATTTTTTCTTATCCTTTATTATTTCAAAATGAAACTTCCATCAAAAAGAGGGGCTAAAGCAGACCCATATTCCAGTGGTCTTTAATCCAAAAACTACAACCATGTAAGACAAGATCAGTAGTTTCTAAAATTCCTTGATCTGGCAGGTCTATGATTCAAAAATTTTTTTATTATATGTACTCAATATGTATATATACATATGTGTGTAAACATAATGTGCTACTTACATAATTATATATTATTAAATTTTCATGAAAAATAGACATTTTAAAAGGACAAGATAAAGATTATGCCTGTATGCATTTTTAAATTTTCATGAAAATAGACATTTTAAAAGGATGAGATAAAGTTGAAATATTTTTAATTATTAATATTTCTGCATTATTTGAAATATTTTCTTATAGAGTCAACAGAGTGCCACTGGGATTTATTGAATAGGGGAGTGACATGTTCAGTCCTAGGAAAATCACTTTAGTAGCCATGTGGATGATGGATTTGATGGTTAGAGACTAGAAACAGGGAGAAACAGATCAGAGCTATTGCAGTAATCTAGGAGAGAGTGATAAGGACCTGAACTAGGGTGGTGGTTGTGTTAGCAGAGAAAACAGGACAGATATATTATGTTGTGAGACAGAAACAAGCTTTTCTATGTGGTTTGAGGGAGAGTGAGGCATTGAAGATGATACCAAGGTTGTGAACTTAGGTGTGGAAGGCTAGTGGTGCTCTTTGCAGAAACAGGGAAGAGAATATGATGAGGGAAAGATAATAGGAAGAGATCTACAATGTAGATAGAAACCCATCTATGCTTGCTTATCCTTGAAGACCCATTGTCTCACCTAAAATGAAAACGTGGCATTGGAATTTATCATTCATTTACCCCGAAGAACCCACTCTCCAAATAGCACCAGCTAAAACTATTAGGGGATCAGGGAGAGAAGGGGTGAGTTTTTTAAAAGGGGGAGTCATTTCCCAATAATACTTGCACAGTTTCTACTATGAGTACCTGGGTAATGGTTATGTTTTAACTGCTCTGGAGGGGCTGAGGCCGGGCTCAGAAATAGGGGAAGATTGTGACCTTTGCAAAGCAGAAGGAGGGGATAGAATGGAGTGTTGGGAGATAATTATACGTTTGGTTGTTTAGGAGACAAATACATAATTGGCTATGCGATCCATCTTCCAGTCCCCTATTTGGCTGATCACATGCCCCTTGAGGTCAGGCTATGTCCAGCCTACTTCCCCTGGCCCACACTCTGGAGACCAGGGGACTACATAATCTCCAGTCTTCCCCCTTAGTATCTAATTCTGTAATTCTGAGTTAAACATATAACAGAGATTTGGAGTTGGCTACACCCACTTATAGGTCACACCTTACCCAGCTACTTGATTTATCACCATGTTTATCATCATCTGTAGTTCTAGAGTAATTCAGGAGTTTATTTGGATATTTACTCATTGTAATTACTCGTGTAATTACTAAATTACATCATCTCCATAACCAATCAATTAGGTTCAGAGCCTCTGCCCCAGTTTCTGCAATATTGTTTATTTAGAAAGTGGAGAAACCTCTTTCCCCAAAAGCAATTGTTCACATCTCTCTATATATTAAAAACTAATCTCTGAGGGTTAAACAAATATTAAAGTTCTTGCTTACATACTTTATTAATAATATAACAAGCAAGAATACAAGGACATAGACAATTATTTACACTGTTTTAGCTATGAGAAAATTCACAGCGTGAGTCATCTGAAAGTCATAACAGTAACTGCAGTTGACTTCCCCTTACTTCTGGAAACACAGTTCCAGCATTCAGTCCACTCAGGATACCAGTTAAAGTCTCTCCTGAAGGATTCTCTTCATCTTTGCAAGATTAAGGTTACAAGAGCTTCATCAAGAACATAGTTTTCCCTCTTCCCTTTTCTTTCTGTCTTCTCCATAGACATCTCCATCATTGTCTTCATAAGTCTCTAGAATCACACTTGACAAAATGACAGTTAAGTTGTTGCTCTTCAAGCTTCCCTACCTCTTAAAGAAACAGTAGCAGTTTCTATAGTCTGTAGAAGAGGTTGTTGAAGCTGGTGGTGCACTTAGGACAAGAGAGTTTTATGGGTTACTTTTTGTTTTGAGGGGAATCACCTAAAGTCTTTGAAAGCACAAGGCAGTCCTTTGACTCTGCCTAGCAATTCTCATGCCAAAGGCCCATATTTCCTCATTGTAAGATGCTTTTTTCTTAAAGATTTACTATGGGTAAATATAAACACACATATACATATATACATATATACACATGTATATATATTATATATAGATTCCCTACATATGTGTATGTATATACACATACAGACATGCATTCATACACATGCATATATATATATATATATATATATATATATATATATGAATTGTCTAATGTGTGTGTGTTGTGTATGTGTGTGTATGTACATAGGAATTGTCTGTTCCTGACTTGTCTAGATAAAGACAAAGATTCTTTCTTCCCACAGGAGCACTACAACCTTCCTGGCCCCATTGGCCCAAAACTCATTCTTAAACTGAAATCCCACACAGCTTCTGCTCCTTGAGAGTGGGGATCAACCTTTTATCTATAAACAGAATTTCAGTTAGGTTAGAATGGACTGGTCTATGCACGTGAAGGGAATAGGAAGTTTTCCTACTCCTTTGAAAGTTTAAATAAGTAAATCAACTAGGCAGAAAATATGTAATGAGTAATGGACAAAGAATACTGTCAGTAGATTTCTTGGTCAAGGGAATTAGCCAAAAATAAAACTTTTTTCTGACTTTAATACATTCCCAATCCTCTCTCACCCCCTTAGAGGTTATCATCAAGTTAAACGTCTTGCCATATAGTATCTCTAAACCTGGTTATTTGCTTAGTTCTATGTAATTTTGCATTGGGCTCGATGTAATGCAGCACCTTTCTATATCTACTTCATCTCTATACAATCAGATACTTCTAGCATTTTCCATTAGGAAATTTGAACAATTCCACAACAAGGAGATTAAGTATGTATTTGGATTTAGAAGAAATGACGATAATTCAAAGTTTTGAAGGTGATTACCTGGCAAACTTCTAGAATTGGCTGAAGTGCATTATTAGTGAGTATTTTTTTTTAAAAATCTATCTCTTTGTAGTGAATGGAGAATTTAAAATCATAATTCAGAATATATAATACTACTACTTTGTGCTTTATATACAATAACAAATTAGAGTACCTTTCATGTGAAAATCTAAATTTAGCTAGCCTATGAGATTTTTGAGATCAGGATGGTTGTTTGCATTCTACAAAATGCCTAGCACGGCGTTGGGCACAAAATAAGCAGTCTAAATACTTCTTGGTTGTTTTATTTGTTGTTTAATGAGTTGGGGGGTACATAGTTAATTAATCTTACTAGTACCAGGGTTAGTCTTGCCCCATAGCATCCTACCTCCATGTTCAGGTCACTAGCTGGGAACTTACCTTAAGTCTCTCTGAAATGGCAATATTTTACAGAAAGAATCAGAAAAGGGGAATTTATAAGCTACAACTAAGAATGGCAGAATTCTTGAAATTCCATTCATGCCTTTTTCTATAACCTATCTTCCTTGAGGAAATTTTCCATGTTTCAGGAACATAGGCTATTAAAAAAAAGAAATGATGAACCAACTTGAAAATTCTTTGGAAGGACTGCTAAATATTCCAGTAACGGTAGGAGTTCTTTGACTTTCAAAATTTGTCTTGGGCATCCCAATTTTTTAAATAAATTTTTTTTCCAGTCAATGAAAATCTGCCTTCTGTACCTCCCACCTTCTATCCCTCTCCTATTGAGAAAGAAAGAAAAACAAATAATAAACATGTATAGTGAAACAAAACAAATTCCCATGTTGGCCATACATTTTTTAAAATATCTCAATTGGCATCTCTCTGTCAAGAGATTGGTAGCATGTTCCTCTAGAATCGTGGCTGGTCTTTGAATTGATAAGAGTGCTAAAGTCTTTCAAAAGTTGAATGTCTTTCAGTAATTGTTGTAGTTCTGCTTGTGCATACCGGTTCTTATACAGTTCATGCCAGTCTTCCGGGTTTCTCTGAAGCCATCCCCTTTATCATTTTTTTATAGCACAGTAGTATTCTATCATATTCACATAGAGTCACTTCTTCAGCCATTCCTTAATCGAGGAATACCCTTTCAGTTTCCAATTCTTTGCCATTGCAAAAAGAGCTGCTATAAAGATTTTTGAACATATGGATCCTATTCCTATGATTTATAACTCTCATCACATTGTATCTTTTCTGGTTTTACAATTCACAAAATCAATAGAAAGGTTTCAGGAAAAAACTGCTTTGTATACTGGCTTTGCTTAACTTCCATGCTTCTAGGACTTGGCTTCTAGGACTGTTAATCAACCAATCAACCAAATATTTATCAAGTAACTTCAATGTGCGAGGCATTATATTAAACATTGAAGACACAAAGACAAAAGTGGGAGTCCCTGTCCCCAAGGTTCTTAAATTCTCGTGTGTGTGTGTGTGTGTGTGTGTGTATGTGTGTGTGTGTATACACATATAAAATGTGTTATATTAACTTAAAAATATATATATATATACAAATTATATGTATATATATATTTATAAATGTCACATCTGTTTCAAAATCCTCTACTACAGAGGCTATAGTAGCTTTAAGAGCCAATGGGAATGTTGTGAAAACAAATTTAAACTCCAGTTTTAACTGACGAGATGATGAGTGATAGTTTGAGAAAAACTGTGGGGATTGTTTTCCTATCATGACTGAAGAGAAGCTGAAGAAAAGAGAAAGGAGATAGAAGGATCATCTTTCCTGATAAAACCATAAGAACCTTTATCTTGCAAAAAGGGATGAAGAGTCTTGCAAAGAGACTTTTATTTGCAATACTGAATGAACTGAATCGTGTGAACCTATGTTCTTAGAAATGAAGTTATCTGAGGTTACATGAGGATTTGAGGTAACTCTAGTGATCCCTTTCACAAACAGAATATTGTAAATAATTATCTATATTTTTTACTATAGGTATTATTAATAAATTGTATATTCAGTTCTTTAATATTTGTTTAACCTTAGGAAGTTAAGGGATTTAATTTATGTAGAGATGAGTGACTACTATTGAGAAGAGAGTAAAATGAATAATATTTAAGGAACTGGATTGGAGACTTTGAGCTAACTGATTAATGAACAGGATGTTATATTTTTACTAATTAATGAGGAAAACACAAACATACCACTGAATTACCCTAGAATTTAGGCTAATGAGATTAAATACGAGAATGAGTCAAGTGGCAGCCTGAGGACTGACCTATAAACAAGGTTAGCTGATCCCTAAAGCCTAGAACACATGGGTTTATATCTCAGATTTTTGAATTTTTTTTCTTTTCCCATAGTTATATCTTACAGAATTATATATGCAAAGTGCCTTAAAGGCTACTGACAATTCATAACAGAAACTCATCAGTTTTATTCTTTTATTTGGTACAACTTAATTGCATATAATTATTTAATTGCTCATTATTGTGTAGATTATATGTACACAGTACAATGAATATAGCCCTGGACTTAGAATCAAGAAGACCTAAGTTCAAATCCAGTCTCAGACATTTACTAGGTGTATGACCCTGGGCAAGTCACTTAACCTCTGTCCACATCTGTAAAATGGGGATAATAATAAATTCTACCCCCCCAGAGTTGTTGTGAGGATACAATGAGATAATATTTGTAAGATACTTTGCAAATCTTAAAGCACTACATAAATTCTATATTCTTCTTATTTTTAATGAATAATTTAGCATCATTATTTGTCAAATATAGATTTATTATCACTATTTAAAAGATATTGATATGTTTAATATGTATTATAATGTTTTGGGGCTGTAAATTCAAAAGGATGTCCTCAGGAGTGGACTCAGAGAATGAAAATAAGGACATTATAAGAAGAAAAGAAAGGGGGGAAAATTGGGAGGTCACCATAGCAAGGTCAGGGCTGGGAAAGCCAGAGTCAGTACTCTGTGAATAACCTTATCTACTGGATTATTCAAAAATATCAAATACCTTAACAATAAGGAACAGTCCTAGAAACTGAATTATATACTCCCTTCTGAGCAGGAGGAGGAATTGGTCAAGAACATAGAGGTCTAAAAGGGAAAAGGACTGACAGAAAGAAGACTGGAAAAATGTTTGGGGCAGATAGCGATAGCTATGACAAACACATCAAAGATATCTACCCTGCATCAGAAAGGTAGGGCTAAAGCTGGGTCCTGTGGCAGAGATCTCATGTGTACACAAAGACTGGACTAGTTCCAGGAGTGTGTGTGAGGGAGTCGGCTCATATTGGCTCAAGAAAGCTAATTGTTAAATTTTCAGCATGAATGTTTACCTCAGAAATCAGCAAATCCTCTACAAATTTGGATCTGATTTATTGTTTTGCTGATTATTTAGACTTTAAAAATGAAGGAGAAAATATTAATAATGAAGATTAAACTTAAAAGTGTGTCCTGCATACATTTACCTTCCTCTTCCCCAACCAGCCAGTTGTTAAACATTTCCCAGCACATTCCTGCCTCCTTCTCTTGAGTGTCCTGGGTTGTACAAAGAAGTCTCATCTGTGAGTAGGCCTCAGATAAAATACTTCGTTGCAAACAGCAGAGATAAATAAGTGCAAGAAAGGAACTTTTTCAGGAAAGTATTTTTGCTCTCCTGAGGGAGACTGTAGAAGTCTCTGCTGACTGTACAAAAGACCATCTACAGGGCTAGAGCACTTTTGACTGGCTGACTACATAAATAAATGAATGAAGCATTTATTAAGTACTTACTTTGTACAAAGCACAGCCAGGTCCTGATTAGTATGAATAATTAATCCCCTGAAGTGGTCCCATATATTCCAATTCACACTATATGGAATTATAATTATGTAAAATATGGAAATTGGTTCCAGCACAATGGAAATATGCAGAATAACATGATCATGTCAAAGGATTCATTGTTTGTACCACTGAGAACCTACCTGTGCTTCACTAATTGCTGGGGATACAAAAGGAAAAGTATGACAGTCCTTGCTCTTAAGGAGCTCACTTCTGTTTTTTTCAGGGAGGGAGTTTGGGGTTTTTTTGTTTTTTGTTTTTTTGCTTTTTGGTGAGGCAGTTGGGGTTAAGTGACTTGCTCAGGGTCACCCAGCTAGTGTCAAGTGTCTGAGGCTGAGTTTGAACTCAGGCCCTCCTGACTCCATGGCCAGAGCTCTATTCATGTACCACCTAGCTGCTCAAAGGAGCTCACTTCTAATGGTGGAGACAGCACAATGGAAGATTCAGTTGCAAGTCAAATGGAATGGTCCCATGGTCTTTATGGTGCAGAGGCAAAGCAGGTCATGTCTCTTCTTTAACGTCATTTCAACACGTAAAAATCATATCCGTTTCTATTGTTAAACCATTTGACAATGCCCAAGATTTTGGTGACAAGAACTTTCTTTTCTGGATCTTCAGTAGATGTGGTTGTAGAACCAATAGGAGTAGGTTGCATCTTCCATAGGCACTGGAGTTACCGTCATTCCCAAGGTTCTTGAGTTAATGGTTCTGGGCTATCTGCACCAGGGTCTGAAGGGAGATGGTGGATGGTTAGGTTCTTGATAGATTTTAATTGATATTTTGAGAAGACTCCTGGTGTTGGGACTGTGTTCCCAGAAGTGAGGAGAAGTCAGCTGCTTTTATATTGATGTTTGAGAGATGACTCTAGCTGTGCAAATATTTATCTATGTTTTTGTGTTATTATATATTACATTGTTAATAAATTATATATTAATAACTTTTATATTCATTTAAAATAGATTAAGGGATTTAATATAGAGAGATATGAGTACTACTAGGAAAGGAGTTTTTTCCAGTTTATTCAATAAATAATATTTAAAGAAGTAGCATGGAGTTTGAACCAACCAATTAATGAGGAAGAGGTTACAGTTTTATTAATTAATGAGGAAATATCTAAATACACTCCTGGGTTACTCTAAAATTTGTGATGATAAGATTAAATGTTAAATACAAGTCAAGTAGCAGGCTATGGGGAGACCTGCAAGTGACTGAGTTGACCCAGATCTATAAATCTTTCTACAATAGGATGATAAGATTTAGAGCTTTAAGAGACTTTAGCAGTCATCTAGTCCAACTCCTTTATTTTATAGATGGCAGTGAGGTTCAGATGTGTTAGGTGACTTGAATATTAAGTGGCAGAATCCAGGTTCTCTAACTCCCAATCCAGTACATTTTCCATAGAGAGAGAGATGGAAAATATTCATTCTGGGAAGTCTGGCATTACTAAACTGTATTGCCACTGTACAGCTCCAGGCCTATTGCTTACTTTCTTCTATATTAATTAGATTTGGTAGATAACTCTAGCACACTTTTTTCTAAGAGTAGAAGGGAAAGTAAAGGACCTGGGAAGCACCTTGTTATTATTCTACCACCAACCTAAATATGACCCCAGCAGTTTCAAAACCCTGTTCCTCCTGATTCTCCATCTTCCCTTTTATATACTCTGTAGACTTCTGAGCAAAATTAACTTCTTATAATAATTTAAAATTCAAAGCTTTAGAATGTTGTGAGCATGGAATAAGCAATGCTTCTATGGTGCATAACAATGAAAGTAACAACTGATTTTTTTCTCTCAGGATGGCAATCGATAAATTGGCAGAAAATAACAATACAATTGCTAAAAAGAAATAAATAACAACTCTTTTTTTAAGGAATGTTTTTATTCTGTCTTTTTCTCAGTTACATGTAAAAACAATTTTAACATTCATTTTTTAAGATTTTGAGTTCCAAAATTCCTCCCTCGTTCCCTTCTCTCCTCCTTGAGAAGGCAAGGACTTTTATATAGATTATGTATGTGCACAAAACATATTTTCAAATTAGCCATGGTGAAAAAGAGAACATAGGCCCAAAAAAAGGGGAGGCAAAAAAAAAATTTTTAAGTTAAAAAAAAAGTATGCTTTGATCTGCTTCAGACTCCATCAGTTCTTTCTCTAGAGGTGGATAACATTTTTCATAATAAATCCTTTGAAACTGTCTTGGATCATTGTTATATAGCAACTCCTAATGAAGGGCAATATCACTTTTTGTTTAATAATAGAACAAAATGCCTGTAGCAGAAAGAAGTCCAGGTTTGAATTCTGGCTCAACCACCAAATAGCTATTCTTTCTCCTGGTTTTCATAACTATAAAATGTGAAAGGAAGCATGGAATAGTAAAGGTACAGTTGACCTCAAAGAACTAGGTTCAAGTCCTACCTGAAACATACTGGCCATGTGCTTTTAACCTTTCAGTGCTCCAAGCAAAACTTTAAGACTAGAAGTTACAGAGAAGTAGACTTCTGTATTGGTGGATGTCTCCATTGGTAGAGGATGATCCTCCTAGAAATCACATTCCAGGGGTGGGGAACCTGCAGCCTCAAGGCCACACATATACCTCTAGGTCCTCAAGTATGGCCTTTTGACTGAATCCAAACTTCACAGAACAAATCCCCTTAATAAAAGGCTTTGTTCTGTAAAACTTGGACTCACTCAAAAGGCCACATTTGAGGACCTAGAGGACCATGTATCTACAGGGTACCCACCCTCTGATTTAAACCAATGAATTCATAGGTCTTGTTGTTTTGCTTTTTAAGATACTTTCATTTTTACTACTTCAAAAAAATGTTGTTTCTATTGTGCTATAAGAAATGATGAGCAGACAGATTTCAGAAAAACCTGGAAAGACTTAAATGAACTGACGCTGAGTGAAGTGAATAGAACCAGGAGCACATTGTACATAGTAATAGCAACATTGGGCAATGATCAACAACGATTGACTTAGTTCTTCTCAGCAATACAATGATCCAAGACAATTCCAAAAGACTCATGATGGAAAATGCTAACCACATCCAGAGAAAGCACTATGGAGTCTGAATGCAGATTGAAGCATAGTATTTTCACTTTTTGCCTTTGTTTTTGTTTTTTATGGTTTTTCCCTTTTGTCCTGTTTCTTGACTTGACTTGACAACTTGACAGCATGACTAATGTGGAAATGTGTTTAACATGATTGCAAATGTATAACTTATACTGGATTGCTTACTGTCTTGGGGAAGAGAAAAGAGAGAGAGGGAGGGAGAAAATTTTGGAACTCAAAATCTTATTAAAAATGAATGTCAAAAAGATGTTATTTGAAAAATAGTTGAATAAGTTGAAAAAGCATTGTAATGGGACTTGGGAAACGTGGGAGATTCTAATTTTCACTTTGCAAGCAAATCTTGCATCTTCACATTGGTGGACCACAGGATTGGACTAGATTATCTCTAAGGTCTGAGCTCAAGATAAAATGTGTAAAGCACTTGGATCACCTAGTTAAATTATAAGAGATTACTTACAGTGCTCAGGCCCCTTTCACATATCGGAAGCTACTTTAGGCCCCAGGCATTTTCTAAGTCAGTATTCTCCGAAAACTTAACTCAAAAGCACCCATCAATATATTTATTTTACTATGTCAATCTTGAGAACACATTAGTTTGAAGTAAAATAAATTTAATAGCATAGCAAAATGAGTGACAAGAAAGATCCATGCCACCATCCATCCTACTACCAGTGGAGGAGAGCACACATAAAAGTAATACAGATGATGAAAATATTCTCAGAAGGGCACATGTATGACCAGGGAACATGTAGCTAGACAAACATGTGAGAACATACTTGGCCAGAACAACTAACACTCTTGATGTTGTAGAACTAACAGCAATATCATTATGTTGTTCTCTGTTACCTATCATTTCTGATGCAGCTTTTCCATTGGCCAAGAGTCTGCAGCTCTTTAGTTCCATGGTCTCAAAATTTTTGGACAATGCACCCAAATCAGGAAAACACTCCTATATATTTACTAATAAATTTATATGTGTAATTATACTAATATATTGTATTAATTATAAAATGTACACAAAATAATTTTGGATAAGTATGAAATAAACATTTTAAAGCTGTATTTTATTCATTAGTGATATTTTTAAAAGGATTTTTGGTTTTGAAAGCAATGTGACTGAATATTCTACATTAAAAAAAAATCTGAGTGTTGACTTCTGGGACCCAAGATGGAGGAGAAAGCAGCAAATCACTGTAACTCCCACATATTCCCCTCCAAACAACCATAAAATAGCACCCCAAAACAAATCCTGCAACAGCAGAACCAGGAGAAAGACAGGGTGAAACAATCTTTTAGCCCAAGAAACTTGTAAGATTGGCAATAAAGGTCTATCTCACTCCAGTAAGAGGGGAGCACAATTCAGGATAGGAAGTGTCTCAGCAAGCCAACAGCAAGTCCCACCTCAGCAAACCAGCAGGAGATCCCGAGCCCCAGTGTGGTAGAGTAGGCAAACACCAACACCAGGAACCCCCACATACCTCGGCATAGCCAGGAGAACTGACAGACTCCAACTCCAAGAACCACCACATGTATCAACACAGCCCTGGGCAAACAGTAGATGCCAATCCTACCGGTGCCTAAACAAACAGGCAGCCACCAGCACCCAGTCACCACCACAGTGTAGCCCCAGGCAAATAGGCAGCTGCCAGGGGCCAGACCTCCATGTGCTTCCATGTAGCCCTGGGGAAGCACAGAAACACCCCCACCAGCCTTGCCACATGCCAGACACCAGCACTAGGACCCCAGCTCAGTACCAGATAAGCTGCCAGAACCCTACCCACCCCACCTCTTCAGCATAGCACCAGACAGCAAAGTCCCCTGTAGGCCTCAGGGCAACATCAGTGTAGCACCAGGTAAACTGCCAGGGCCTGCAGCCACTGACATAAGAAGCCTGAGACAGTGCCCCTTCCACCCTGAGAACAGAGCTTAAATTTAAAAGACAGGAAAAAAGGCCAAAAAAAGATAAGCAAAAAAACAAAACAAAAAAAAAAGAATCTGACCATAGAAAGTTTTTATGGTGACAGGGAAAACCAAGACACAAACTCAGAAGAAGACAACAATGTCAAAACACCTATGGGCAAAACCCCAAAGAAAAATAGGAAGTGATCTCAGGGTCTCAAAAAGAATTCATGGAAGAGCTCAAAAGGGAGCTTAAAAATCATATAAGAAAGGTAGAAAAAAAATTGGGAAAATGAGAGTAATGCAAGAGAATTATGAAAAAGGAGTCAACAGCTTAGAAAAAGAAAACAACTGCATAAAAAGTAGAATTGGCCAAATGGAAAAGGAGATACAAAAATTCACCAAAGAAAACAGCTCCTTAAAAAATAATTGTGCATATCCTCCAATCCAGCATTACTACTACTAGGTCTGTATCCCAAAGAGATCATAAAAAAGGGAAAAGGACCTACATGTAGAAAAATTTTAATAGCAGCCCTTTTTGTGGTTACAGAATGTTGGAAGTTGAAGAGATGCCCATCAATTGGTGAATGGCTGAACAAGCTGTGGTATATGAATGTAATGGAATACTGTTGTGCAATAAGAAATGAGAAGATTTCAGAAAAACCTGGTAAGACCTGTATGAACTGATGCAAAGTGAAATGAGCAGAACCAGGAAAACACTGTACCCATATCAGCAACATTGCGTGATGATCAACTATGAATGACTCAGTTCTTCTCAGCCACACAATGATCCAGAACAAGTACAAAGGACTTATGAAGGACTTATCTCTACATCCAGATAAAGAACTGATGGGCTCTGAATGCCGATTGAAGCATACTTTTTTCACTTACTTTATTCTTTTTCATGTTTTTTTCCCTTTTAATCTGTTTCTTTTTTCACAACTATGGCTAATATGGAAATATGTTTTACATGATAGCACATGCATAACCTATATCAAATTGCCTACCATTTTTGGAAGAGGGAAAGGAAAGGGAGGGGAAGGAGAAAAATTTGGAACTCAAAATCTTGTAAAAACGAATTTTAAAAATTGTCCAGACATGTAATTGGGAAAAAATAAAATACTATTAAAAAGAAAAAAAATGGGGGAAAAAGAAACAAATCAGGGTGAGACAGGAAGAAAACAAAAACAAAAATCCCTGTGTGTATTCTAGGGGCTAGAGCAAACTTCTAAATAATTATTTGTTAGTAATTAATCCTTTAGTTCATTTGATTAATGTAGTAAATTTTTTATAGTTCTGGATTGGAAGATATACACTTCAACAATTCAGTAATAAGTCAGTGAACATGATAAATTTTAGTTAGAAGTAGTATTTCTCTGTGTTTCTAGATACTTACCATGCACAATGCAAAAATAAGTACAAGCAAAAATGAATTATCTCTGATTTCAATTGAGCAGAAAGTTTTCAATATAAATATATTCCTCTTTGTTTATCTGGTTCTAATTAATAGATAATGTTATTCCTTTTTTCCTATTTGCATATTTTAGCTGTAGCTTGTGAACTTCTCTAAATCCTGTTGCTTCTCAGACCTCTCAGCCTAAACTGTTACGAAATCCAAAATTCCTTTTAACTCCTGTCATATCCCTTAGTCGCTAAAGTTGGTTCCTTTCAAAGCATTCTGGGAAGTCCTTTCAGCAAAACTGCCAAGAAACTGGGTGGAGATGTAGTGACGAGATTCTTTTAAATCTCTGTAATGAAGGTCTGGCACATGCCCTGAGTGCTTCAGATGGCTTCTCCATGTGGATGAAACTAGGGAGAAGATGGCTTCATTACACATGGAGAATGCTAGGAAGCTGTTTCTAGGAGAGTCATAATGATATATTTAAAAAAGCTTCAAACTGTGGAGCATGCGTACATGTTCTAAGACTGGTTCTGGTCATTTAACATGTTGCAGTGGAGGCTCTTGGATCAGCTCCAATTAAGGTCTCTTTAGGGCCTCTTTGCTCTTAGTAGAGGTTGATGATTATTGAAGCCTATGACTGTGGATTCAAAAGGCCCAGATGACTCCTCTGTATCCTTTTGTTCCAGAGTTTTGGTTTGTAGCCAGTGCAGCATCAATGCTTCAAAGAGGAAGGAGAGTCCTTCAGGACCCCTCATTTGGCATATCCAATAACCCCTCATTGGATGAACTTGGGGAGGTAATAGAAAGTTGAGGTTGTAATGGAAAGTATGCCCCCAAGGTGTGTGTGGGGTGTCAGATAATGTTTATACATTTATTCTGCCTATGTTTTTGAAGTAAATATCCTTTTGTGAAAGCTACTTGATGTTAAGTGATCACATGGAAGTTAAGAGCTAGTTACTGACCCTCTAAGAAATTGGGGAAAACAGCTGGCAGATACTTGAGTTGACTGCAGTGGAGAGAAGAGATATCTTCCAAGTTCCTCAGGTTACATGAGAACCCTAAGGAGGAAATGTAGCCATGAGAGTGGGGTCAGAGCACAGTCTACAATCCTGTAATACTCTTGATCGCCATGCAAATCAACCCATGAGTAAGACTGAAAAGGGCTGATTTAAGCTGGTGAAGCTAATTAAATTTGCTCTGCTTCCCCCAGGAACCAAAATCACTCCCTCTATATTAAAAGTCATACAGAATTTAAGAAGTTTACTAAATGTTGTGAGTTAACAAGGCTTTGAGTTAAGGGGTGCTAGACAGTAAAAATTTGTTTCCGGCATTCACTTTAAAACCATTCTTCATATGATAAAAAAGGTTTCTTTTATTATTAATCTATCAACATTATTAACAGCTACTTATTGAATGCACATAATTTAAATGACCCTATATTTGGGGGTGGGGTTCCTGGTTTTGGGGAATTTACAGCTGAAAGGAGTGTTCGGGGTCAGCCCTCATTAAAGGTCAGTCCAGTTGTTTAGCCTCAGGAATGGAACTGAGATACCCATGTAACATATGTCTTTTTACAAAAAGGAAGTTTACTTAATAATAGATATTCAGCAAAGATACAGCATTGGTTTAGATCGGGGTGAGGAACCTGCGGCCTCGAGGCCACATGTGGCCCTCTCGGTCAAGGGCCACACTTGAGGACCTAGGGGGCCACATGTGGCCTCGAGGCCGCAGGTTCCCCACCCCTGGTAGTTGGACGCAGATCCCCTTTTTTCTCCACATGCACATGCACTCAGACAGGACGATGTACTGACTCACACGACAGCACAAAATCCTTTGAGTCTGAGCCCCCAACTCCCTGCACACTGGGCTTTTATATTTAGGCAGCCAGAAAGTTATGCCAATGGTTTGAGTCTTAGGCTCCTGAACAAATTAAACATCAAGGATGGTTGCATTGCCTTTTAAGGCAAAAATTAACCTAGCCTGTATTTTCAGTTCCAAAGTCTCTCCCTCCTTCTTCCCCCTCTCCTACCCACTGAGAAAGTAAGAAAAACAAAACCCATTACAAATATATATAGTCATGCAAAGCAAATTCCTGCTTTAGCCATGTCCAAAAGAAAAGAAAAGAAAAATATGCTTCAGTCTGTACTATCTATATTGTGAGTTCATCAGCTATGTGGCAGTCACGAGTCCTTTGGAACTGTGACTGGTCATTGTGTTGATCAGAATTAATAAAGCTTTTAAAGTTAGTTGTCTTCACAACTTTGTTGTTATCGCACAAATTGTTCTCTTGGTTCTAGCAGGGACTTTCTAGGCTTAGCAGATAGTGCTCCTATAACAGGGAAACAATATGGATAAATACAAATTTATCAGTGGCATATACAATAATTCTATACATGATCTTTTTATTATTTTTTATAAGCAACATTTACTAAACAAGGTAAGAAATTTGATTCAATAGACATTTATTAAGCAATATACAGAGGCAAAAACAAACAAAAAAGTGGTTGTCCTGAAGCACCTCACATTATACTAGGGGTTATAACATGTAAATAGGTCAATAAATACAAGATAATTTGAGCAGGAAGAAAGCATTGATAACTAGGGGAGTCTGGAAAGACTTCCCTTACATAGGAATGTTTCTTTTTCTTTCTTCTCTCCTTCCCTCCTTCCTTCCTTCCTCTTTCTTTCTTTCTTTTCTTTGCCTCTAACATAATCTAAATCTGTGATTTTGTCAATGACATAGGCATAAAACACATGCTTATCAAATTTGCACACAACACAAATCTGTGAGACTTAGCCAACATACTGCATGTCAGGATCAGGATCTAAAAAGATCTTGACTCCAAATTGAAGCTAATTCTATGACATTTAATAGGGATAAATGTAAAGCCATACGATGGGTTAAAAAATAAACTTCAGAAGTGCCGCAAAGATACGACAAAAGGAATAGTTTCAAAAAAACCTGGGAAGACTTGTGTGAACTAAGAGTAAAGTGAACAGAACTAGGAAAACAATTTATACAAGGACAATACCATCGTAAAGAAAAACAATTTTGAACGATTTAAGAACTCTGATCTTTAGAATGACCAACCACAACTCCAGAGGCCCCATGATGAAGCATGCGACCCACCTTCTGACAGAGAGGTGCACAATGGGACATATATTTTGGGCACAGCAGATGTATAGATTTGCTTCACTTGACTTTACTTATTTGTTACAAGGACTTTGTCTTTTTTTAGTTTGAGTAGGAGAAAGGAGCTAGTGGTAGTTTGCAAAAACAAAAAAGAATAGGTAAAAAAAGGTCATTGAAGCATTTTTAAATGCTTAAAAGCACAGAAGAAAAGGAAGTTCAGAAAGAAACAAACAGGACAGCTTTGAAAATAGCAGGTTGAATTTATTGCATACTTTTATAGCAAATACTCTTTCGGACCTTACAGTTTTAAAGCCAGGCCAGGTACCTCTCCCTGTCAGGGTTTCAAAGGCAGTCCACAGGCTCAAGCCCTTGTTCCAGGTATGTTTCCCCTGCCGATAGTTGCCAGACATGAGATGCCCAGTTCCATTTAACCAATTAACATGAGTTAGCTTTTACAAAGGGATATTTATTTCAAAGATATAGACAGAAGTACAAACATTCCTCCCCCCAAATCTCAGGGGCAGATTCTCCCCTATCCCACCTTAGTCTCTGGGGAGAATAGACTCAAACCTAACATAGTTTTTACATAGAAGGAGTCCCACCACATTTGGATCCAAATTCAACATTCCTGCCAAATGATTCTTCATCTTACATACTACCAGGCTGGATCCCCAAGGTTTCTCCTGCTTTTAACTGCTCTAGCCATTGATGCTGGTCTGAGTGTAAAACCTGACATGGATTCAACTTGGAAACATACAGACTGGTGGGCTCCTTAACTCCTGGAGGCTCACTCACCTGACCTTTTGAAACTCAAAGGTGGGGGCATTCAGATTAATCACCTTCACCTAAAATGAAAGAACAAATGCAGAAGTAGACAAAGAACTGAGTCCCATATTCATGGGGCCTTAGAGCAATATCCCTCATCAGACATCATCAGCAGAGGAGTCAGACCAAGAGCAGAGGTATAATCAAGAAAGGAAAGGGCTGAGGTCAACAACACCTTTTGACAGCACTCCAAATTCCATTTCCATAACTACAGCCAATTA